CAAAAATAAAGCTCCAAAAGCCTTGAACTCAACCGAAAAAATAACTCCAAATACCATCCCAAGAAGGTCGAAATTGAGTTTGCCAATGAGGTGTTCGTTTGCTGCTCTGGTGGCGGTCCGATTTGTGGCTATATACGTAAGAAACCATGTGGTTTGTTGCTCGTTTTCAGTTTGACATAATCATTCATGGTGATTCATTTTAATCAAAAAAGTATCGTTCTCGAGGTCCGCTTTTCCTTTCGCTTGTTGTTATTTCAGTCCATTTTTTTTCTTGCCGTTTATTTGTTCTGTGTTTTAAAGCTCTTGATTAAGACCTGTATGTTTGGATTCATAGTTTATCGATCTTACGAGCATGTAGCATTGATCTGTTGCTATTAAATTTGGTCTTGCAACCTGAACAAGAAATCAGTGAGCAATAGTGTTAAGCCATGGATTTTTAGTTTCAATTAGTAGAAGTTGGGTTTGATGGTGGCTTGATAGTGGATAGTGGCATGGCTTGGCTTGATAGAAATAATAAATGGCCAGTGATTAATCTGGTAAATTTGGTAGGCCGTGTGGATTTACTAAGCTCTTTCTTCCTTAATAGTTATAATTCTTAATAACCGCTAGTTACTTTAAGTGCGTTAATAATAACCATTATGATCACGGGTACGGTTCCCGTGGCATGGTCATGATACGTAAATCCCAATTTGGGTGTACATTTCATGTGACCCGACTATAACTTCAAATAATAATAAAATAAACATATCGTAAATCGCGGGTGCATTTTATGTAGCATGGTTTGCAATGTGTTCCGTAAAATAATTCCTTAAATAAATAAAAATAGTTATAAAGTAAAAAATGCACAATAGGTTTAAAACGTGTAATTTTTCAGATATTTAGGCCAATTATTAATAGTTGAGCGACTATGCTAAAACCACGGAACTCGGGAGTGCCTAACACCTTCTCCCGAGTTAACAGAATTACTTACTCGTTTCTGTGTTCGCAGATCAAAAATAGAGTCAATTTCCTCGATTTGGGATTTAAAATAAACCGGTGACTTGGGACACCATAAATTATCCTAAGTGGTGACTCTGAAAATAAATAAACAATCCCATTTCGATTAATGTCACTTAAATTGGAAAAACTCCCTTATATCCCCCTCGGGTGGTAAAAAGGAGGTGTGACAACGCTAAAATGTGTAAAATCTTAGGGAGTGTCAAAAATTACATGTCTACAGCTTCCCATCTTTGACTGAAAACGCGAAAAGTTTTCAGACAAAGAACGATGAGATAGGTTTTTTGACCCGACCCTTATTTAGAGAGACCAAAAACTAAGAGAAATGAGAATATGACCGAGCCTTGGTATCTGAGCTGCCTACATATCCTTGGCTATAAAGGAATCAGGCCACGTGTAGTTCAGAATTAGGAAGAGTGATGGAGTACCGAGGTGGAGAGCCTATTGAGGTGTCGTCGAGGTTTCGGTCCGCGGTCCCGTTATACATCAAAATCAAAAATGAAAAAGACTAACTAAGCCTATCAGCTACGAGTTACAAGATTCCTATCTATGAGTCTTCTGAAGTTTGATCTTGAGCCTTGGTTGGTTCTTCATGCGGACTCTAATATGAACCTTGATGTTTGTTAGCTGCAAGTGTTGGTTCAATCTTCTTCAGCTTTTTCAGATCAAGACGGGACATGCAGAGCTTGTGACTTCAATTATGTCTTGAACAGTCCACATATTTTCTCCGCTTCTGCGCTTTGGATTCACTTTTTTTTATACTTGATTGAGACTTCTTTTTGGTTATCTCGGATTGTTGACTCGCATTCTTGCCTCGAGCTTTTGCTACTTCTAACTTGGATTGAATTCTGTAATAACTTCCCTTATTCTCCAGGTGGGCATCTGCTACTAACTTGAAACTTGAAATAATTTCGAAACAAATTCCCTTGTTCTCCAGGTGGGCGCCTGCTACTACAACAAAACAGACAAAACAAAAGAAACTTTTCTGCCCCAGTTTGCACTAGGAAGATTTGTGAGTTGTTAGCAGAACTATAAATCGCCTGCGCTGCTAATGAAGGATGCAATGATGAGAGTAAAATTAATGACTTGACTAGGATGTGTGTCTTCTAAAAGTTATTGAGCTTGCGGAAAACTATAAACTAAGCTTGGCCAAAGTAAAGACTGACCTATTCTCCAGGCGGGACCCCTGATTTCAAGAAAACTAAAAATTGATAACTTAAGAAAACTAAATATTGTCCTTTTTTTTTTCAAATTCAGACTTCCCTCTTTTTTTAAAATAAAATTATTATCCTAGGAAAATTCATCGGACTAGGTTTTCTATCTTAGGAGAAAGATTCATCAGACTAAGACGTTTATCCTAGGAGAAAATTCATCAGACTAGGTCCTTTTTTTTGGTATCTTAGGAGAAAGATTCATCCAACTAAGACATTTATCCTAGGAGAAAATTCATCAGAGTAGGTTTTCTATCTTAGGAGAAAGATTCAGCAGACTAAGATTTCTATCCTAGGAGAAAGTTCATCAGACTAAGACGTTTATCCTAGGAGAAAGATTCATCAGACTAGGTTTTTTTTGTTATCTTAGGAGAAAGAATCATCAGACTAAGATTTCTATCTTAGGAAAAAAATTTATCAGACTAAGATTTTGTCCTAGGAGAAAATTCATCAGACTAGGTTTCCTATCTTAGGAGAAAAATTCATCAGACTAAGATTTTGATTGGGAGAAAATCCATCAGACTAGGGCTTTTTACCCTAGGAGGAAAAATGTGAGTAAAATGGCAATATTTTATGCACATTAGCAAGACAAATAAAGGCAAAGATTTGAGAAACTTTCCTTTGTCGCCTCTTCTCTTTTTTTTTTAATATTTTTTTAAAACTACTTTCCTTTCATTGCTTTGTTCCTGTTCAAACAAAGAAAATTTTGTCAGTTTTATAAATGATGGTCAGTTTATGGCCTTGAGTTTTGAACAGCTTGGATCTTGCTCGATCATCTTGAGTCAGTCTCAAGAAACTTTTGTTCTGAACCAACTCTGATTGTTTCACACCCAGTACCATTTGTATTTGCGGTTCAATCAGCCTTATCCCAACTGGAGATCTTTGCTTAGGTGACCTTTCTGATATCTTGAATGACTTCCTACTTTTGAGCAATTTGTCTGTCAGAGAGACTCACAAGTTATCTATGATTGCTCCAGGTAGGCTGACAAGAGTCTTTTGGGGGGAAGCCTTTGCATGAATCCTCAAGTCATGTTGAAAATAACAACTGAGTGCGCTGACCAAATTTACTTTGTACAACTGAAAAGCTGATAACAGATTTTGAAATCTTTTCTTACTTATTTTGACAAGGACTGACTCAGAGTGAAGGACACAATGATGCAAAGAAACAAGTATTAACAAGAAATGCCCATATCGGAAGGACAGAAGGAAGAGTTTTTTTTAATAACTAGCCTTAATGATCATGACATGCAGTTTGAACTCAACGGCCTGATCTATCAAACTAATTCAATCTTCCCTTTTACCATTCTTATGACCTTTGAAGTCGGGCTTGTTCGTGACGATCCTTTGCATCAACTTCACGACTCACTTTCGACTAGTGGTGCCCCGAGGGATTTTTACCAACAAGCCTCTCTCATTTATTCATCTCTACTTACCGTCGCCTTACTGTGCCCGTGAGGGTTTTCACTAGTAAGAGTCTCTCATTTCTTTTATTTTATTTTATTTTTGTTTTTTTCTGTGAGCAACTTGACAGTGTTCTATGTCGCGTGACAACCGTTGCTCATTGCATGCTTCTTTTGGCATTTCTTGAAGGCGTATCAGGAGGTCTTTATTTGGAAGGATTTTGGATAGGGTTGGAAAGAAAAGACGTCATGAAGGCTCAAAATAGACTCAAAGTAAAGGGGGTTGTGGACTTACAACTCTTGGAATCGACTCTTTCAAAAGTTAAATAAAATCTCTGCCCCAGTTTCAGCTATTGGGGATTTTTTTGGGGATTTTTTTTAATTCTTATTTGGTTGGACCGAACCGTGAGGCTGCCTACGTATCCTTTTTTTAAGGAATCAGGTCAAACGTAGTTTTTTTCCCAAGAATGGGAGATGATCTATGTATTAAAAAAATGTACAATCTCATCCACCCAATGTTAGCTTTTTAATGTTTCAAGAGGAAAGCACTAGATTTTGTCCCATGTTTTCAAATATCGCCATCAATACAATAATTTCAAAAGTGCTGAGCATCCTTTTCAATAGCAGACACGCCTGAATGGGTTTTGCTTCATACGAGTATTGTTCCTCGTGGAATTAATTTGCCTATTTTTAAATCCCTTCCATTGGAATGAATGCATAGCATTAATACCACCAATTGAAATTTCATTAAAAAATAGACAAACTTGACCGTAACTTTTTCACTTGAGCACATTTTTTTTTGCTCCAGTTATTTTTTGTTTTCCAGATTTTCTTGAAGAAATGTGAGCTCCACTTTACAATGCCAACATTTTTATATTCCCAGATATCCCCTGCAAAAAAGCAAACTTTGTTAGAATAAAAAAAGGCCCTTATTTCCTACTCCCAAAGGCTGTTGAATTCCCAAGGAAAATTGGGTCGTGTAGTGTGCACTTTTAATCTCCATTCGTTCATTTTCTAAAATGCTCAATGTCCAGTTGACCCTCCAGCACGTGAGACCATGAAACACCCATGCTTTGGCCCCTTCTTTTGACCAATTTAATAATCCAAGATGCGTCAAGTTACCCCATTTGATAGTCTTAAAAGAATTCTTGAGATTTGTAGCTTCACATGGAAATATTCGTGCATATGGGGGTGTGATATATGCGTGCATTAAACAATACAAAAGCTTCCATTGTACTTTAGTGCCCATTCTTTCATTTCCCAAAGTGCAGTCGTGGATTATAGAATTTAAAAACTGTCTTGGCCTTTGTTTAGTGCCTAGCATTTCCTCCAAGTCACGCTTGTTCTCCCATGATTGTTGACCATCCAATGCCTTTATCGATTGATGTTGTGCTCAATGAAAGGTATGCTTTTGAACTTTATCGTGGCTTGTCTCTTTTGCATCATACCAAGCAAAAGCTCGCCAAAATACGTGCTGCTGCAACAACTGATCGTAACTGTTCTCTTCAATTGAATTAGCACTAACTCTCTCACTGATGCCTATGACCTTTTTCCAGACTGACCTCTCCCATGTGACATTGTGCTCACAGCCTCCAACATACACCACCTTTCTTGGATTACGCTCAGAGATGCCAATGAAGACAAGCGTGTAGTGCAAAAAGCTGTGACCATTGCTTTTTGATTCTCTCGAGTGATGCTGGTGCATATGGTGTTGTGAAAACAATGTCACGCTCAAATTTTTAAGCTGATCCTGCACATTTCTAATTCTTTGACTTAAAATGACGTGAACTCCCAGCTGTCCCTTTCTCTTAAAACATCTGAATCCAATTCTTAATCTCCAGATTTTTTCTATCCTTTTGAGTTCTCTTGACAAAGTAACAAAAAAATTTTCTTGTTTGTTGACGCTTCCATGGTTTGTATCACTGCCCAACTACAAGTAACTTCCATTGGAATGAATTCATTGCATTAATACCACCACTGGAGATTTCTTGACAACAAAGTACAGCAGTACAAATTTAGTACCTGCAAAAAGGTAAGAAATGTTAGTGAATATCCCCATGTTGTCCTTTGTTTCTTCCCTTTCTTTCTCTAGTTTCTTGCAACTCTTATTCTTAGTTTTGGACATTGTAGCTTATCTTCATTTACCATCCTCCTGCTTGATACATCAAGTTCCCAGAAATCAAAACTCTCGATGTTACCACTGTCAAGAGCATAGTTTGCAAGGTGATCTGCTAGTTTGTTTCCCTCTCTAAATATATGGGATATTTTGAAATTACACCCCTCTTTGAGACTGTTGATTTCCTCTACTGCATCCACAATATTCCAAGGTGGTTTCCACAGTCCATCTATAATGTTTTTAAGCATCAATGAGTCTGTCTGTAGCCAAATGTTGTTGAAGTTCATTGCTCTACACATTCTCATTGCCTCTACTAATGCTGTCGCCTCTGCTTCATTATTAGATCCCTCCTTTATTTCTCTTCCTGTTGCATAACTGATATCTTCAAATTCATCCCTGAGAACTATCCCAATTGCACTCCTGCCAGGATTCCCTCTTGATGCCCCATCCGTATTGGCTTTGATCCAACCATTACTTGGCTGCTCCCATAACACCTTTTCCCACCTCAACTTAGGAACATAATTCTCTAAAGTATGCAGTAAGTCTTTCCATTTATGAGGTACGTAAATGCCTGGTTTCCTGATTTTCACTAGATATTGAATTGTGGATGAAACTTGATAAATTACCCTGTTGATAGATACAACATCCCCATATTTCAGTGAATTCCTCCTTTTCCATAGCTCCCAAACAATACACGCTGGCAGTGCTTGCATGATAGGCTTCAATCTGGGAATAACTGGTGCTGTCCAACACTTTGTAATTTCTTGTTGTAATGACAACCCTTGTAATGCAATTCCTGCTCTCCTCAGGAAGTAACTCCAAACATTCCTAGCTGCATTGGATGTGAAGAACAAATAAATTTAATGACTCCTCCTTAGGATTAGCACAACACCAATATTTAGATGGCATGGAGTATCCTATTTTACACAAGAAATCATCAAGTGGCATCTTGGCTTTCCACACCTTCCACAGAAAGAAGGATATCTTGAAAGGTAAGCCTTTGACCCATATCATCCTGTAAGCTAATCTTGGGTTGTCTCTTCTTCGAAGGTAATCCCATGCAGACTTCACTAAAAATGACCTCTTGTTTCAAGCATCCAGAATGGTGTATCTAACTCTGCACATTCGATGGGTGGTCTAATATTCTGCACAATGTGGTTTGCCAAATCTTCAGGTAGAGTCTGATATAATTTTTCCAAGTTCCACATACCATTTTCAACCAGATCATTGACATTGTGAATATCCTCATCGATACCAAACTCTGCAAGCACTTGGAAATATAAGGCTCCCAACTCAGTCCAATTGTCGAACCAGAATTGAGCAGATCCCATTCTCGGTTTCCAGTAGATTTGATGCTCAATCAAGTCCCTACATTCTAGCATTTTTCTCCACACGTGGGATCCACGCTTCCAAGGTACAATTACTGGATTTAGTTTCTTGCAGTACTTTTGACTAATAAATGCACTCCATAAACTGGGCTTTGTCCTGAAATTCCACCACAATTTACAGAATAGTGCCTTGGATACATCATGTAGGGACCTGAAGCCTATGCCTCCCTCCTCATAAGGCATACAAAGGTTAGTCCACGATGACCAATGTCTAGAGTTGCCTCCCACATTGCTGCTCCAGAAGAATTTGGCAAAAATGCTATGTAATTTATTGATCACATAAATTGGTGGATTAACTGCTGACAACATATGAATTGGGATACTCTGCATGACATTTGCGATCAATACAGCTATGCCTCCTACAGATAGGAGTTTGCCTTTCCACGACTGCAATTTGTCCATGACCTTAGTGATTAATCCCTGGTAGTAGTCACTCCTTCTTCTTGCATAAAACATAGGGCAACCAAGATAGGTCATAGGGAAACATTGTCTTCCTATACCTGTAATCCTTTTAACCTTGTTAATCACCTCATTATCCGTTAAATGATGCAGGTATATGGCAGATTTGGCTTTGTTCACCAGTTGACCAGACGATGATTCATAAGCTTGCAAAACCTCCATGACAAGTCTCAGTGAAGTTTCATCAGATGAGGAGAAAATGATTGTATCATCAGCGTATGAGAGATGATTTATTTTTGGGCTCCATTTTGGCATTCCAAATCCAAAGAAATACAGGTTAGTGTGTAGTGAATTCAATCCTCGAGATAGTGCTTCTGCTGCTAGAATGAATAGGGTTGGCGATAAAGGGTCACCCTGCTTAAATCCCCTCGATGATTTGAAGAAACGATTTGGTTGACCATTTATAAGAATAGAATACCAATTATTCCCAATCAAATCAAAGATCAATCCAATAAACGCTTCAGGAAATCCCATCTTCCTTAGCATTTTGGTCAGGAATAGCCATGATAGTCTATCATAAGCTTTTGTCATGTCGAGCTTAATCACAACATTTGGGCCTGCTTTTGTTCTTAACCTGATATCCGTAATGATTTCTTGAGTTAACAGTACATTCTCAACTATACTTCTTCCCTTCACAAAACCTGCCTGTTCCTGTGAGATTAAGTTTGGTAAAAATTCAACCAACCTTTCATGAATAACCTTCGAGAAAATCTTGTTAACAAAGTTTCTTAGACTGATTGGTCTCATGTCTGCAAAGGTCATAACTTCTTTTTTCTTTGGTAATAAAACCAGGTTTGTGTGTGTCACACTCTTTGGCAATTGCTGACCGCAAAAGAAAGCCTTGACCATGCCTACTACATCTTCTTCAATGATTTCCCAGCATGTTTGATAAAAGGCTCCAGTGAAGCCATCTGGTCCACCTGCTGAGTCCCCATTCAACCCCATAACTGCTCTCTTTACTTCTTCATTGGAAGGCATAACCATCAATCTTTCATGTTGATCACTATCTACCATTTAAGGTACATGATTTAGAATATCAAAAGCATTAGGAACTTTACTCTCAATAAATTGATCCTTGTAGAACTTTAGTGATTCTTCTGCTATTAAGTGATCTTCTTCAATCTAGTTACCAAGGCTATTCTGGATCCTTGATAATTTTAGTCTCTTCTCCCATTAACTTGAGCATGGAAGAATTTAGAGTTTCTGTCGCCATCTTTGAACCATAACATGCCAGCTTTTTGTCTCCAGAATTCTTCCTCTAATGCAAGATATTTAATCATTTCAGCTTGTACCTGTTGTAATCTTTGTCTGTTCATCTGTGTAGGATTGACTTCAAATTGTCTTTCATGAACCAGGACCACCTCCTCCAGGCTTGAAATCTTCTGGAATATATCCCCATATGTAGCTCTGCTCCAGGTAGATAGTGCTTGCTTAAGATTCTTTAACTTGTTGTTAAAAATGCAAAAAGGGTTAGCACTAATCGGCATTCCAATTCTCCTTTACTACATCTTTGAAGGTTTCATTCTTTGTCCAGAAGTTTAGAAATCTGAATGACTTCTTAATTGAAGGAGTTTCTATATCACATTTCAGCAGCATCGGGCAATGATCAGACCCAATTTTGGACAGGTGAGTTACCTCCAATCCAGGAAAGGTCTGTTGCAATTCATTATTGCCAAAACATCTGTCCAATCTTTTAAAAATACAGTCCTCCTCTGATCTTTCATTCCACCATGTAAATATGCTTCCTTTAAATCCCAAATCTGTCAAGTTACAGGTATTTATGTAGTGCCTAAAGTCATCTACTTCGAGGAGAGAAACCGGCAATCCTCCATACTTATCTTCCTCGTCCCATATCACATTAAAGTCGCCTCCAACTAGCCATGGTACTGTCATATCTGATGCCATTGCATACAAAGTATCCCATAGTTCAATTCTTTCAATGCGATCACATTTGGCATAAACTAGTGTAAGGATGAGCTCAACATGTGTTTCAGTGTGCATCAATCTCAAAGTCAGCTGTTGAGTCATGTTATATAGAATAGTAACCTCAAAAATTTCATCAATAAAAGCCCAAATCTTGTTTGACACATTCACCACAGCATGTGCCAAACCAATTCTTGCTCTATACCTCTCCATTTTGTGAGACTATTGCATAGGCTCAAAGATTCCTATGAACTCAAAGTGATGTTTTCTGTGCATTGTAATCAGCCTTTCAAATGCTTGCATTGTATTTACTGACCTCACATTCCATATAATGGCATCTATTAAAGGTTTTTGGGTTTGGACAGTGTTCTCCTTATTTGTACTCCACTGACTGGTACAGTAGAAGTCTCTTTTAACTGTTTCTTTTTTCCTTTTGTTGCAGATTTTACTGGTTCAATAATCCTTGGCGACAGATCACCCTGCTTGGCAACATTAAGGAAGTTTTGTGCAGTGGATTCCTCATCCATGTCTCTACCTTTAAGTTTTGCGTGACCACCTTGGTCATGTGCTTCTATTGGTTCTTTTGATGTCACAACATCATATGCCTGATTGTTAAGTTCCGCAGCTTTTTCCTGATTGGTATGTTCAGCAGCTTTTTCCTCATGTTCATTGGTCAACAGGTGTGTTTTGTTCGATGGAACAACACTTCTTGCTACATCCTTCACTGTGCTCAATGGTACAACACTTCTTGCATAGACCTGCATTGTCTTTTCTTGGTTCTTGTCTGCATTTTCAGCTTCTTTCAAGACATTACTAACATCATTATGTAAAGTCCCTCCTGGATCTATAATATTGATGTTCCCCTCTTTTGTCTTTTCTGCTGTTGCATTTGTGCATTCACTTATACTTTGAATATTGATTGCATTGGCATTACAATTAACACTTGATTCTCATCTTCCACTTCATTTCCTCCGATTTCTTCTTCACTATGCATTGTATCTGGAATCTGCCCATCTGCTAAGACTTCCTCTATTTGGTTGATCCATAATCTCCCTCCTACACATTTATCTTTTTCATTGGTCCTGAATTTCTCAAAATCTGTATCTTCAATTAATTCATTCTCTTTATTGTTTACTAAATATTGTTCAACTTTGGTGTCCTGTGAAGGAATGTCTTGACATGAAGTATTGACCTGAACTACATTTTTTTTGAATGCTTCTTGCACCCATTGGGCAGTTAAGTAATTGTCAAAATGCTGCTCATTCCCCAAATCTTGTTGTACATAATCTGTTGTTGATTCCCTATTTGCTGCATGATTTCTTATTGCTGTAGGATTGAAAGTAGGTGTTGCAGGGTTCAGTTTCTTTGGTTCTGACATAGCTAATGGTCTCCTAGATGAACTAGGTGATGTTACCTTTTGTACCATTTGTCTAGTCGAAAAATCAAATTGCAGCTCTTCTGACTTATTCTCCCCAACTGTATGAATATTAATGGGGTCTGTATTATTTTCAGTCACAGGAATTATGGACTTGGAGGAATTGTTATGGACAACACTGTCAATGAGTTGATTTGTACAAAGTTCTTCACTGTTTTCCACTTCTAAACATGCAAACTTGTTTGTTGTCTGAACTTGTTGTGGAATTCCTTTTTGATTGTTTACAACCACGATTTCTTGTCTTGTTTTTGCTAAATCTGTTGTCTGCTTCTCTTTTGTTTGCACTCTCCTATCTTTGACCTCCTTCCATTGAGCAACTTGATTGCC